TTGTTGTGAATTGTAGAAAATCAAGATGATAAGCAGACTATAAATTATCATTCATGAACATGGAAAAGAAACCTATGCTTTTCAACGTTTATATATTTTGGAGTCGAGGAAAAAAAATACTCAAGTCACTATTGAAGTAAAAAGTTGTAGTCATTCATAACATTCCACAAAGAGAGAGAGAGAGAGAGAGAGAGAGAGAGAGAGAAGAAGGCAAGGCAAGGCAATGACGCATGCAATATATACTAGTAGAAGCAAATCTTCTGCGACCTATACATTTCAAATTTCTTGATGTTGTCATGAGGTAGAAGTAATATGCTTCAAAAGAACACAAAGCCAGTTTCTATAGGCCTTCACTTGCTGTTGGTTTCCATCAGCAATGCTTTTCTACATCTAAACACAGTCCCTTAGTACAAAAATTGTCAGAAGACTCCAAGAAGGAGAGTTCTTTTACTCCTGGTATAGAGAAGGAAGTTATGATATCTGCTTGGCAATGCTGCTGTCACCACAAAAAAAAAGGAGGATATTACTTTCGACTTGCACCACAAATATTTTTGAGATGTAAGAAGCATTTCATTTTTTTTCTGTGGAGATATACCCCAGAAGAACTGCTTCCTCCATCTCAGGAAGTGCTCAATCTTCTTCCAGGAGTGGATGATCCACTAAATTGGCTTATCGAACTTTCATATCCAGATTGCATAGTTTCAGGGTCGCTTCTAGTTTCCTAAACAAACAGAGAAAAAAGAAGTATCATATGGGGCCATCTACTATTTCTCATTATGAGATGTTGATGATCTGACAATTTTGAGCTTATCTTGCTCAAGTTGGAAATCATATGTCATTAAGTTGAGCATTTGTTCTAAATCTGGCCATTTTATCAAACTGAAGAATATCAGTGCAATAATAAATCTACAATCAGCATATTATCAATTGCCATGACATAGCATGACCATTAGAGGCCTTTAAAGCTTTTTAATGGATGATAATCTCTATTATTGTTTCTGTACAGTAATCTCCAGGTTTGGTTAACTAATGCATTTGCTAAGGAATTGGAAATATTATATTGCATGTTCCCGATGCCACACTTCCTAATTTCCTTTCATCTACTTAAAGTTTATTGTTCCACAGGTATTTCCATAACTTAATGACATGCCTTATCTGCATTCATTTGAGTCGGACAATTCCTAACAAACTTAATTGTATTAGGGAAGTTAACATACTTGAGTAGAAACTTGACTCTGCATAGGTGAGAGGTGTGAGCTGTTCCCAAACAATGAGTACTGCATATTCTCCTCCGCGAAATCCCTGAGCCTGTTGAGTTCTGGCAATATGACCGTCGCAAGATCTGGCCGATCCCTGCGTCTAAGCTCTGCGCACTTCAGTGCCAGCTTGGCTAAGCTTAAAGCTTCGTCCATGGGCCAATCTGGCACTGTGTAATCCAACATCTCTACAAATGTTCCTGTCTCAATTGCACGCTCAACGTAGTGTGTCAACCCCATGGGAGGTCTGCCACTAATGATCTGCAACAGCATGATCCCAAGAGAGTATATGTCGGATTTTATACCGAGCATGCCAGTCTGCTGATACTCTGGATCGATGTAGCAAAACGTGCCAGCCGTCGCCGTCAAGCGATACTGGGTGACACTGTCTGCTACAGATGGAGGAACCAAGCGAGCGAGACCAACATCACTGATCTTGCTGACATAATTCCTGTCAAGGAGGATGTTTGCAGGTTTGAGGTCTCTGTGAACAAGCGGCTCCGGCTTAGTCTGGTGAAGGAAGAGGAGGCACATGCCAATCTCTGCAGTGATCCGGAATCTGTGCTGCCAAGGGATTGGTGGTGTATTCCCTCGCCTCAACAATCGATCTTCCAAGCTCCCATTTGCCATGTACTCGTATACAAGACAGCCATATTCTGGGCAGGCACCCAGTAAAAGAACCATATTTGGATGTCGAATGCAGCATAATATTTCAACCTGTCCATGGAAGATGATACAACAAAATTGTTACAGTCATACATTTATACTTAGGCAGATTCCATATAATTTTTACTGCTACAGGAGACTCTGAGTATATGTGAACTGAAAATTCAGAGTTGTGATACTGTGAAAGCATGGGTGCCCGTGTTGCATACCTCTTGCTGAAACTGTGACCTTCCTTGGGCAGCATCAGGACGAAGAACCTTAACGGCAACAGGTGTATGATCTAGGTAACATCTGTAAACAGGACCGTATCCACCTTCTCCAATCTTCCTCTCATTCGCGAAATACTCGGTGGCTACTTCTATCTCCTCTATTGTGTACCTCCTGTACCTGAGACTTGTATGTGACAATGAATCGATGGCCTTCCTCCTCTCCTCCTCCTCTTTGAGTGCCTGCATCTCTGCACTGATTCTCTTTTGTGCTTCTGATTCTGCAATCCGTTTGGATGCTTCAGCTGTTTGTATTGCTGCCATACACTTTGCTCTCTCTCTCTCTACTAGAGCAAGAGCTGCTTCTTCTGCCTGTCGAGCTTCTTTTAGTCGTTGCCCTTCCTCTACCTTCCAGCGTTGGAGCTCCATTGCCTGCAGAGGAAGGCATTTTCACAAAGTAAGTTCAGTTTTTTGTGGGCACCGATGGCAAGATTACCTTCTGTTTAGCTGTAAGTGCTTCTTTGCATGCTGTGCTGTACATGTCCATCGTCTGCTTGAGTTGTAATCTTAGCCTCCTAATCTCTGCTTCCACATCTTCCTGCAAGTTGCAAGGTAATATGCATGCCATTTGTCATTGTGAATGGCTTATATTACATCAATTTAATTGATATGATTTAGACATCACTGTCTGTAAGTAAAACTCTTTTCTTTTTTATATTTAATTTTTTCTTCGTAGTAGCGAGAGAGGAATAGACTAACCATAGCCTGAGATGATGAGCTCTCATAAGAGAAGGAAGATAAATCATTCCCACCAGAGTTTGAACCTAAGGATCGGGACAGTGACTCGAAACTGAGATCAAAGCTGTCCGAAACATTTGACGATCTTGGAGGGAAGCTGTGCTCCATGCTTGTCCCACCACTGCTCACAAATGATATATCGCTGTCCAGCATCAAATCTCCATATGATTTTGTAGTTGAAGTACGTCCTCCCCTGGTAAAAGGTGACCTATTTGAGGCAGAAATCTTATTGTTCAGCATATTTGGAGGGTACTTATGGTGTTTGTTCACACATTAGCCTTCTACATATTTTTTTTGATGATGGAAGTTCTTACTTGATTGATTCAGCATCTTTTTGCAGACACCATGGAGACAATGCAGCCTCATGTGGCACTGAGAAATTTCATAGTTTTCTTTAGGGGTAGAAGCAGCAAAAGCCAGAAAAAAACACACACACACTGATATAGTACTTGTAGCAACACAAATTTTTCATACCATTCTTGGGTTTATGGTCCTGTGGTTCAGGATTAACACTTGCTTGTTCTTGGATTTGATTCCGGAGAGAAGAGATGGTTGGAGGAGGCCGGACAGCATTCCTCATCGATGAGACCTTTCCCTTGGAGATGATGTAGACAGTGCAGAAATCAGGCACACCTTTGCAGATACTGGCACTGAGGTCAATGGTTCTAAATGATCTGAGGGAAATACGAAAAATCAAGTATTATGGGGAGGTCCAAGAGACTTCCACTTAGTTAAAGAAGTGTTCAAGTAGTTCAAGACAACCTAACAAATCCGCCTCTCGATGATGAACCAACGACTAGCTTTTCAATTGCGGCATGTGTGATGAAATCTGAAATTGCTTCGGCAACATCAGTGTCTTCAAGTATGACATCTTTGCATTGCACCTGTTCAGGAATACACAAATCATGCTTTCAGTTTGTGTTGTGATTGAAGGATGAGCTTTTCTCGATAGGATGGTACATATATCAAAAGACTACAATCACATTTTGGAGCTTAGTCTTGGGCAGCATAATTTGTTGTGATGCACATTAGGTGGATTTAATCTCATAACACCACCCACCATCGACTGGTAGGTGTTTAAAAGAATATCAAGAGAACAAATTGTCCATACTGTGAGTCTTCTCGAGTTGGTGACAGCGGTCGACTTCCTTTTGCCAGGGGCTTTCTTCTTGAAATATATCCAAGTATCTTAAGAATTTTCCTTGTTCAAGGAGGACCATCAAATGAACCTGAGATGCTGCTTTCGGCAACAGGAGGTAGAATACAACCTCAAGGTACCTTGACTGCTCCTAAATATTTTGCTTGCTAGGAAAGGAACAGTAGATTCTTCACCAGTAGTGCGAATGTGGAAGTGGTCGAAAAATATTTGAGATGTTAAAATTTCTTCATCAATAAATTTCACCTAGTGCTGAATTTTTGCAAAACTAGGGGTTTCCAAACCTCAACCATTTGAGCAACAGCATAGGCACATCTTAGATATTTATGCTCATAAATACACTCGGTTAATTTTTCTATCGCCTTATCTTGGCTTGAGAACTAATGTTGTTGCTCATTTAGTTTTCGCACAATTCAAACGCCGAGACCTACGCCCAGGCTACAAAATACTCGCATTTACTAAGTTAAAATCTTAAATTAAGGCAAAAAGGTGGCTTACATCTTTTCGGGTGCAAAAACATCGAAATGGGATGAACACGTCCCTCGAAATCGCCGCAGAGGAAGCATCATCTCTGTAACCCGCTGCATCCCATCGAAAGGAGAAGGAACAGTTAATCAGAAAAAAATATTTTGCAGCGTTCTGCATGGATAGATCATGCAAGGATCATGTTTGCATAAGCCCCGCGGGAGGAGCAAGGATAAGGCATCTTACATGAGGGCCTGGTGTTGACATGAATTAGGGTCAGGGTCTGGCCTCTGGTGACAACATTGTCTAGAGCCCACTTGAGAGCACTCTGGCTGCTCTTGTCCTTGTCGATGGCCACTGCTACTAGTCGGCATGCCGCACTATTTGCCTTCTCCCTGTGCGACATTCCTCTCAGCATTGACACAAACATCTGTTCTGCATCACAGCAGCGTATAAGGAACAAGAAGATGGAACGCAAAATGGACATGGGAAGAGGAAAAAGATAAGCAAAAGAGCTTGCTTTGACACTTTCTTCCTCTCCTTCTTTGGGATCCGTCGGTCTCTTGATGCCTCTGCCGCTGAGAGGCATAGGAGATGATAACTGAAAAGTTTTTCCTCCCTCTCTTGCTTTGTTGTTATCGTTCGTCTTCCACCACTTCCTCCTCCTCAATTTCCTCTCGATATCATTCAATCTGAGAACTTCTCTTTCTCTTGTGAGGTCCAGCGGGGATGGAGGGGTGGGTATTCCATTACCTGTTGACACATTGACCATGCATGACCCTGAATTGCCTCCCTCTGCTTCTCTGCAGTCTTCGAATTCGTTGCATGGCTTTGGGTTCTGCAGCACTTCGGATTGCTACAATCGTATGGCACAGGGAATTCGGCTTAAATATTTCTGGGTCACAATGTGGCTACGTTTGTTATCGAGTCAGCACGTGACAACACTCCACTGAGAGCTTCCTCCATATAATGGCTAATACTAAAAACCCAAGCGATTTTAAGTTATTATTAGTCGGTTCAAATTAAATATCGTACAATATAAATATATATATATATATATATATATATATATATATATATATATATATATATTTGGGACCCAGAATATATATCTTTTCTTTTCTTTTTTTTCTCCAAATATGATTTTAAAGGAAATCATCTATCATCATCTTCGTCTTTCCTTCTTATTTGCTTGCTTATATTCTGTCATTAACATCTCGTCATCATCGTCGTTAACATCTCGTCATCATCGTCTTTCCTTCTTATTTACTTGCTTATATTCTGTCATCAGCATCTCGTCACCATCGTCTCGTCATCATCACCATCGTCGCTCTGCTGATAAAAAGGAAAACTAAATTTATTCCGAGAGAAACATTTCATAGAAAGAAAAAATAAATTTATTCTGAATGAAACATTTCATAAAAAGAAAAAATAAATTTATTCCAAGAAAAACATTTCATAGAAGATTAATTGATGCACTGGTTCATGGAAGACAAACCTGTTCAGATTGATTCATGAGCTTCTTGAAAATTTGGGAAATCATCACGGGCAACATGAGAGTTGAAAATGGAGAAACAAGCAGAGACCTTAAATCACCTTTTCAGAATGACAAAGCTCTACACCACATTAACTTTTAAACTCATTTAGGACTGATCACCTCAAAGCAGAGAGAACATAATGCTACTTTGATTAAACAATCCTTGAGCAACACAAGAACAATCAACTTTGGGTCATTTCTAATTCGTTAACTGATGTAGATAGATCACAACTAAGAGATAGAGAGCTCAGTTCCAAAACTGGACTGAGCATCCAGTTTTAATTAAGTGGCCTGCAATATTAACATAGCTATTGAATCATGTAATAATCAGCAAAAAAAAATACTCAAACATGTCAATGACATTACCAAGTATTACCTGAAACATTTCAGCTTTTTTCATGGTGCCAGACACAAAGTACTAGCGTCACAAGAAAACTAAGATCGACAGAGTTGGAACCGAACGATACGGCCAAATTATTCATATGCCATTCAAATGGAACTTTACAAAAGCTAGTAGAGAACTCCAGATCTGCCAAAGACTGTCAGAAGGAAACAAAGGGAGGAGGAAAAAAAATAGAGTTCTCTTTTTTTCCTTTTCTTTCTTTTCTTTTTTCTTGAATGGCCAACAAACTGTACAACTGCTTCAACAATACTAGAAATCCTACTCAACAGCTTTTCCAATGCCTAATTCACCAAACCTAGTCATCAGTCATTCTGAACATTAAGGATCTGAATAAGAGGCCTATACTCTTGAATAACTTTCTAGCTGCTCATTGTTATGGCTGCAGTTGCTGGTTTCTACAGATCCTTGGGCTTGGAAGCAACAGCAGTATTTAAGGAACTATTTTTATCTGTCGAGGGGTCAGCATTGCTTCTTTCTTCCAACGTGACAGCATGCGTAAATTTCTCTGAGATCTGGCCAATGAATTCTCCAGACATAGTAGCTGTGTTCCTTTGATCATCCCTAAGAGCTGCTGGAACAGGCCATGCTGAGTTGGATAGCTGTTGCTGGTGCTGGTGGGACTTCCTCTCCTGCATGGCTTTCTCCCGCTCCTCATAAAACTCGAAGTCATCAAGGATTGATACCTCATATTCATGCTTCTTAAAAATGCTTAGCATCTCCAGACCCTGCTCCAATTTCACCTGCAATTGTTCAAACACGAGTTAAACAAGTGAGTAGACCAGGCAACCATGTGAGTCAAATGTAAACCATGTAGAGGGCATAACTAAAACAAGAGAAGCCCCAAGTTAAATTATGGAGTATCAAATCAATTTATGCAATGAAGTAATGCTCAACACATTGGTTGAGATTTAAGAAAGAGCAGACTGAAAATTTTAAGCTTTTAAGCATCATACACCCAGCTCATACAACTGTCTTGATGGATTTCAATCTTCACTAGGTTCACACATATGATGATGCAAATTATGGATAATTTTAAAAGTCCTAGTAGTTAATTATATCATGGAATAAAGATACCATCAATGTCTGATTTATTCTTCCCTCTAACTTTGACCTTTGGATCTGACGGTATAAATGACATTACCAGATAGAAAATCCAGTTGATTCCATAGGAAACTTCTAATTGTCGGCAATGTTAACTCCAAAAAATTATCAAAATCATTGACAACAAGTTTGGCACAAAATCAACAAAATGCATCACAGGTGTGAACCCCCACAATAAACCAAAGCTCCATTCAAGGGCTCAATTCATACTGTAAGCAAGATCAATGATCATCTAACATAGCTCATTTAGAAGAATTGGTTTCGGATCCCAAAAAACAAAATGCTGTACATTTAGAAGAATTACAATAGTTAAACAATTCTATGATCCTCAATTTGAAAAGTAAAAGATATAAATATAAATGAAGAAGGTGGACCAGAAAGAGGGAGGGGGCAACATAGGTGACACGAAGATGATGCAAGGAATGCAAAAAATATTCTAAAGTTGGTGTATTCGAATGGAGACTTAAACTATTTAGATAAAAATAAGATTGTAATATGGGAATCTGATCTCAATGACAAGCATTAAACTAATAAATTTTTAGTTTCTTCATTACATATAATAATAAATAGGTAATGTCAAATAAATACAATTGGAAAGAATTTATGGCTGCATGTTGTAAGCTAAAAGGATGGCCATGCCAGAGACATATCAGCATGTGCTATGCTGAATCTGTGTCACGATACATAACTATAGTGTTGTAGGCATGCACCTTCTCCCCTCCTAGGGTATATCCAACTATAGTCGAAACAGTTTAGGCCTTATGCCTAGAGCCACAGACCATGTTCTAGACATAGACCAGACTATTTTTGCAACATCCCACTCTGTCCATGGTAGCTCTCCAAGTTTCAAGGTTAAATCATAATTATTAAGAACTCCGTCATCTCTCAGCAGAAATCTCAATTTACAACCTCATGTACAATTGATATCCAAAATGATCAGGATTCTTGACTCCTTATGATTTATAATCTATCCATGTTCAATATTCGCTAATTAAACTCATTTTATGGTAATTTTCACATGCCAGGTACTTAATTCAAGAGTAGCTAGATATAAACCGTCTGTACAATCATACAGTTCATAGTCAAAAGAAGAAACTCACTTCTTGGGTGTCTCTGCTGTTGGTGACAGGCTTATTGTCATTGTTTTCAAGAATAATATGCCGAAACAGATTGTTGGGTACATCTTTCACTATCTGCCACTTCACAGGGAACTGGCCACTCCACTTGTCTTGCTGCCAGTAGTCCACACTTTTCTCAAAATCAACAGGTCCAATCATTTCAGCCACCCCGCAGAAATGTGCACTTGCATTTACCTGTACAATTTTTTTTATTTTGTTACAAAGCTAATAAAATAACGCCAACTTTCTAACATGGGAAACTGTTAAACCCAAACAGAAATACAAAAACTTGAAAAGAGTACATGAGAAATAAGAATGAAATTACCGAGAAAAATAAGAAAACTGGACAAGGATCTTCTTTCTTATTTGCTTCATGGTATGCAGAATCCAACTTCTTGTTTCCATTGGAAGTGCTAGCCCAAACACCATATTTGATGCTTTTATGAACATTATCCTCGCTGTAAGACTTAATTACAAAAAACTTGGCATCCTTGTACTCTGTAATAAAGTCAGGATTATTATACAATTTTTTATCAACCCTTGAAGAACTGTTTCCATTGTCAAGCGAAGGATTGTGTTCCGTCATCTGATTATTTGTTCTACTTGCTCGTGGCCCTCGATTTTGTTCGTTTAGAAAATCAAGATTGCCATTGCGACTGTACATGGTTCCCTTTCGTCCGCTCCTGTCCAGAGCAATCAAGCTCTGGTCCTTGAATCCGAAGCTAGGAAAAGATGTCTCAAAAATGCTACCATGATACAGCCCACCATGGGGCGAATTGATAGAGGATCCAAAACCATACAAAGATCTGTGTTGTTGTGAAGCCTGAATGCAATTAGACAATCAAATGAATATACTGTAAGAAACAATCAGTAGGCATGAACATTTAAAATAATAGAGCAGAACCTTATGTACAGTGTATAAATTCAGTCTTGCAACCTGAAGCCACATCCAGTGAATATATGCACACTGTAATTTAGAATTCTCTGACAAACTAATGTTTTAATTTATTTCATATGGATAATAAGAAAATTGATGTAACCCATACCTAAATTTAACTAATATAGACCAAGCAAAAGCAATGCCAATTCAAATCCCAAGGCCCAAGAATATTTAAAGACTTGACCTCTGCTTCAATAAAATAAAAGGTGAGAACAAAGGCACAATACTAAGATGGCTTAATCTTTAACAATACAACTCTTTTCCTAGCATGGTACCTTCCAACAAATTTAATCGTGTTTCTCAACGAGAGCATTTGTAAAAGATTCCTAAAATTTGCAAATAGGTTTCTTTGGTTTAAACTTTGGCAATATGAACATGGTGAACACTAACCAACAATAGCATATGTCAGGAATATATGTAAAATCATGACTATATACCAAAAAAGTTACACCGTTAGAGAGAATCTATGAGTGTACTACTGCTAACTTCAGCTTAAGCATTTTCAATCAGTGATTCACAGTTATCTCATCATGTTGGATCGTGATAATTGGTATCGGAGCTAACATAGTATTGGAGAATGGTGAGAGACTCGAGTAGGTTAGGGTTACTTATGTATGGGACCGGTTAAGCTACATGTGAATGGGGTAGGTTAGGGCTACTTATGGATGGGGCCAGACGATACGTCACAATGTGAAGCTATCACTGGACTATATCTCACATGAATAATGCTAGAGTTTGATCTGGACCAGTGATTTAAAAAGCGTTAGGCACTAAGGTCAAAAAACGCTCAAGGCACTAAGCGCTCGCCCAAGCAAAG